CTCTCTCTGTCACTCTCGCTCTCTCTCTCTCTCACTATCTCTATCTCTCTCTCTCTCTCTCTCTCTCTCTCTCTCTCTCTCTGTTTGTGCATGTATGTATAATACATTGTATATGCTGAGGAGTGTGCCACGCCCACCCACCTACCCTCACCAAACACGTGTCTGCTTACCTCGATGACACCTATCCAGTTTAGGGCGAGCATAATTTATGAAGGAACATGTAATATGCCAGACTAGTAGTATCATTATCAGGCTTTGTGTGCAGTGTAAGGTAGTAAGAGTAAGTAAGGCGATGAGGGAGTGGGAAAGCTCTGCTTAATTCTACAACATACACTGATGCTTTTCCTAGTGGATAAGTTGAGGACGCCACACTGGTAGGTCCTACTTCTTTTCTGCCATTTGTTTCTGTCTGTTTATCTTGTCCTTTATCTTGCTTCTTCTTTCCTATCAAACATCTATCGTCTTTATCTCCCCCTCCTTCTTTTTTGTGTTTGTTACTCTCTTGTAACACCTCTAATCTTCGGCACTTATATGACCTTATTGTGTTGCAAGTGCCGTAAAACTCTTACTTAAGCTAAAGCTGTCCTTTTTCACCAGCGCTGCAAGGCCGTTTTATTTGGATTTGCTTCTCTACTGAAACAAAAAAAACATTTTTCCTAGTCCTTTTCAGTATTTCTGTGCTTGGGGGGTTGGTGGGTGCTTTGGTGTGGTCTGCTCCTTCTTTCCTATCAAACATCTATCTTCCTGATCTCCCCTCCTTTTTTTGTGTTTGTTACTCTCCTGTAACACCTCTAATCTTCGGTCACTTGTATGACCTTATTCTGTTGCAAGTGCCGAAAAACTCCTACTAAAACTAAAAAGTCTTTGCATGTTTCATAATGTCGGCAGCGTGTTCATAATTTGTTTTTTCTTCTTTCTCCTTCAGATCTGATCACCACAGAATCAACAAAGGTGTAGTAGCGGTTCTTCTTTGTGGGGCTTTACCGACATCTCAAGTCCCTTGAGAGACTGAGTGAGCCTCTGATCTCCACCATTGTCTTCTAATAAGAAACAAGGTCATACAGTGCGTTGTTGGGATCTGCTCGTAGCAGCACCACCCTCTGTCCACCCTCCCCAGCTGACCACTACCAGTCGGAGCAGCAGTGCGCGTGTCGGTCACTCGCTGCGGCAGTCATGGCAGAAGCACACGCGGCCGTCGCCTTCTCCTTCACAGTGACGCCCGATGGCTACGACGTCAACATCAACCATGAGGCCATCAAGGCTGTGTGGGAGAGCGGGGTGCTCTCCTGGAAGAAGAGAATGGGCCGTCTCAAGGTGAGGGGAAAGCTCTTACTTATACCCTTTGGTTATTATATGAGTGGTGTGTGGGCATGTATATGGGACAGTGGGGTGTGAGGCATGGGTGGTAGAAGTGTTATTTCCTGGAAAAAGCGAATGGGCCGTCTCAAGATGAGGGGAATCTCCTACTTTATACTCTTTGGTTATTATATGGTCGCTTTTAAAGACAAGCGGGCTAACACAGTTTTCGGGGGTTTCCAGAAATCTTGACCGTCACCAAAAGTGGGCGTTGCTCTTCCTATAGGAGAAGTTTGGTTTTAGTGGTGTGTGTATTTGTTTGGTTACAGAGAAAACTCTCCTTGTCGTTCAAAGAAACTTAACAAAGGGCAAAGACTTTACCTTTGATTTTTTCAAAACAGTGTTTTTCTGGATAGCCCCTTTGTGCTTAAAAGCGATCATAATGAGTGATGTGTTGGCATGTATATGGGACTGGGGCGTGAGGCATGGGTGGTAGAGTGGCGTTATTTGCTGGAAGAAGAGAATGGGCCGTCTCAAGATGAGGGGAAAGCTTTTACTTATACCCTTTGAGTATTGCATGAGTGATGTGTGGGCATGTGGGGCCTGAGGCATGGGTGGTAGAGTGGCGTTTTTTCCTAGAAGAAGAGATTTCTTGATAACGACTCGTAATATCCTTACAATTTTGGTGGAGCAAATAGAGCATTTGTTTTCTGACCTCAAAATGGCCAAAAATGTCAGGTAGAACTTTTGTAATTCTGAGGTAGCGATTCATGTATTGCAAATTCCCGCTCAACAGCAAGCTGTATGTACTTTACGATCTATACTATGTTACCTCAACAGACCTGGTAGCTTTCTGAAACAATACAATCTCAACTTTCTGGAAAGCATACCGTGCAACTGCCATTTTATAGGCGCTAAAACACTAACATACTGACAAGATCTTTCGCTTTCTATGGCTGGGTACCCATTCCCACCCGTGTGAAGTCAGAAAAATTTGTGTAAAGTGCCTTTCCCAAGGACACAACGTCGGGCCTGCGGCTCGAACCCCTGAACCCGCAACATCACAGTTACGAGTCCATTAACCTAACCATTAGCTTACTGACACAACTTTGGTTAAGTAAGTGTTGGGCTAGTTCGTATATATATATATATAGGGTGGAAGATAAGGGTGGGGTATTTGTGGAGAAGGATATGTTTTCCTGGAAGATGAGAATGGTTGGTTTCAAGGTAAGGGAAATCTCATACTGTACCCTTTGGTTAAATGAATGCTGTGTTGCTATGTATATATATATATACATATATATATATACATACATAGTGGGGGGTGGGGGTGGAGGCAGGGGTAGGACACATCATGTTGGAGACGGAAATGCGTTTCCAGAAGAAGTGTTTCTGAGTGTTATAAATAGGATCTTCTAGGGTATTCATAGTTGAAAAACATATAAGACATGCTGTAGAATATGGATATATATACTTGCAAGATCAATGCAATTATTATTATTATTATTAATGTACATATTTTTTATATAGAATAAGTGTCTTTGATTGTCCCAAGTTATAATATATATAATTATTGTTATTTTTGTTTTAATAAAAGATTATTTTTATTATTATTATTAATTATTAATGTACATGTTTCCCTGAGTGCCTGTCTTTGGTTGTCCCCAGAACAACGTGCGCAATGGTGTGTTCCCTGCTTCCATGACCTCCTGGCTCTTTGTGGTCACACTCATCCTGGGCATTCGTCTGGCCGGGTTTGACCCGTCGTTTGGCTCCATCTCCCTTATACACTCCACCATGCCGGGGTAAGCTAGCTCACTTGGTTGCTCGCTCTCTTTCTTTCTGTGTCTTTCTTTCTTTCTTTCTTACTCTCTCTCTGTTTCTGTCTCTGTATGTCTCTCTCTCTCTCTAGTTTATCAGTCTCTGCCTCTTTCTCTATTTGTCTCTCTCTGTCTGTGTCTGTCTCTGTCTGTCTCTGTCTGTCTCTGTCTGTCTCTGTCTCTCTCTGTCTCTCTCTCTCTCTCTCTCTTTC